GGGTTTTTACAAAAAAAAAAATGAAGATGGAGAAATCTCACACTAGCTACTTAACAGCACACCTAGAAAGCTGTAGAACAAAAAGAAGCAAACTCACCCTGGAGGAATAGATGCCAAGAAATAATCAAATCGAGGGCTGAAATCAATAAAATAGTAACAAAGAGATGTCTATCAACAAGATAGACAAGTCTTATCCAAATTAACAAAAAGGCAGAGATAGAACATCCAAATTAACAAATCAGAAATGAATAGGGAGACATAACAACAGACAATTAGGACATACAGAGAATCATCAGGTCATGCTGTACTCAACAAAATTGGAAAATCTTAAAGAAATGGCCATTTTTCTGGATAGGTACCACATACCAAATTTAAATCAAGACCAGATAAACTAAATAGACTAATGACCTCTAAGGAAATAGAAACAGTCATTAAATGTCTCCCAACCAAAAAAACCCAGGACCAGATGATTTCAGTGCAGAATTATGCCAGATTTTCAAAGAAGTGGTAATACCAGTACTCTTCAATTTGTTCCACACAATAGAAACAGAAGGAATATTACCAAACTCCTTCTATGAGGTACAATAACGGTGATACCCAAACCACACAAAGATGCAATAAAGAAAGAGAATTACAGATCAATCGCCCTCATGAACATTGATGCAAAAATACTCAATGAAACATTGGGAAACCAAAACCAAGAACACAAAAATTATCCACCATGACCAAGTAGGCTTCATCTCAGGGATGCAAGGATGATTCAACATATGAAAATCTGTCAATGTAATACACTATAGAAAAAAACTGAAAGAAAAAACACATGATCTTCTCATTAGATGCTGAAGAAGCCTTTAACAAAATCCAACACCCCTTCATGATAAAGGTCCTAGAGAGATCAGGAACACAAGGAACCTAAACATAAAGGCAATTTACAGCAAGCCCACAGCCAATATCAAATTAAATGGAGAGAAACTCAAAGCAATTCCAGTTAAATTAGGAACAAGACAAGGCTGTCCACTCTCCTCATATTTATTCAACATAATATTTGAAGTTCTAGCTAGAGCAATAAGACAACAAAAGGAGATCAAATGTGTAAATTCACATGACAAATGAAAACTAAAGACATAATAATCATCTTTGAGAAACTCAGAACCACAAAAGTAAAACAAACCTTCATTAGAGGAACAAGCATACAATTTCTATTACAGAAAGAATCATATACAAAATATGGAAAGAAACAGAGTGAAAGTAAAATTCCAGAATATAGATCTAAAACTCAAAAGTATTTTCAAGGCTATATTGAAATATAGCATGGTAGAAAGCAATTGGTTGTTTAGCGTAGGTTGTTTGTGGGACTCCTAACAATGGGAATGTGGATATCTCTGACTCTTACTTGCTCTTGGGACCCTTTTGCTCCTACTGGTCCTACTTTTTTTTCACCCTGCCTTGATATGGGCGTTTGTGCCTGGCCTTATTATATCTTAAGATGACATTTTAGGTTGATATCCTAGGAATCCTGTACTTTTCTGAAGGCAAAGGAGGAACAGTGGATCTGGGGAAGACAGGAGGTGGGAGGGGAAAATGGAAGGAGGGGAGAATAGAAAGACTGCCAACAAAATATATAGTACCAGAGAATAATTTTTTTAAAGAATGGGAATAATAGAAAAAAGAGGAAATGTTAATGAAATAATACTTTATTGTAATAAAACTATGAAAAAAAAAGTATATCCCAGCAAGTGTTTGTCTGAGTCATGATATTAATCTATCTATGTGATGTTTCTATTCCTGTGTTCATTATAATAAAGATGCCATATATATTTCAAAAGATCTTAGGGGCCAGCAATATGATGTTTTGCTGCCAATCCTGAACACTACATTCAAAACCCAGGAGTAAAATTGAGAGATGGAAACTGACACCCACATCTTGTCTTCTGACATGGCCAAGTGCCCCATCCCATGCTAATCAAGGCACATGCTCGTGTGCACTTCAACAACTACCAACACCAACACAGACACACACACACACACACACACACACACACACACACACACACACACACACAAAGATAAGAGAGGATGTTAACAGCAAGAAATATACGGGATTGGAATGGCATATTCCTGGCATATATATGAAGCCATGAAACTATAGAGGTGCCCTCCTCTGTACCACACAAAGAGCAAATGGTAGTTTAGACCTTTTATCTCTAGAGACTTCCAGCTAGACAAAGCTGGATTCGAGTTTTAATTACATTCTTGAAGACACTGTAATTCCTTGGACCCCTGAGTGACAACAGGCCATTAAAGGCTCTCCCTGGGAATCTCTGCTCCTTCTCATTTATTTTAGTCTTTAAGGTGTGAATGAGTGTAATATAAAAGAGATAGAAGAGTAAATAGAGAGACACTGTACACAATACATGCCAGTGGCCTCTGTGGAGGCTACTGGATGCTCAGGTGTTGGTCTGCAACTTCTCCCTTTCT